TCTCGTCCGAATACCAAACCAACCTCTATTCCCCCGGGTCCGGGAACTTCTCGCCTAACACGGCGTCGCACACGCCGCACCCGCCGCCTATCGCAGGAATGCGATGGATGATTGGAGCGCGCAACTTGTGAGGTGGGGAGTCCTTTAATTATTTGAATTGGCTGGCTGCTCTTTTCAATTCCAATGCGGACTAGATCGTCGTTTATATAGGAGAAGTCATTTCAATTAATCGAGTCTAATTAACATGAAAACTAAAAAGAAACAGAAGAAAAAACGATAAAATCCAATGAAAAAGCAAGTCAATCAAGGAAAAATATCGCGTCCTATCGATTTGCGGGAGGCGGGGTGAGTACGGTAATTGCACTGACATTTGCCGCTTGCCGCAAGGGAAAATGCCGCAATCGGGGAGAAGTTCCGTTACCCTATTCCCCCTACTTTTGAGGAGCCATATTTTCTCGAAATCGGCGAATTCTCTGGCTTTCTTCACTACCGATGAACTATCCCCAATCTATACCTCCACTTTTCGAATAAAAACGGGTACCTTAAAATTACCGTGAACTGTGCCTTTAATGATGGGGCGGAATTGATCACGGCCTCTTTTTTATTTTGATAACTTTCAGAGCTTTTCATGCATTTTGACTGCATATTTTAGGAGGGCTACATTTGCTCTGAAGACATGCCTCCATTGACACAAACGTGCAATAATCCAAACTCTTTCAAAACCATCAACAACAGGTGAGATCGAATACTGCCGTTGACTGTGGCGAATTAGTCTTAAAACCGAATCTCTCAAATTCAGATGCTCAGGACTATCCTATTGCACCATTCGGAATTTGACGGAGTTGTTTCCAGAAACTCCATGTCCAGTTTTGGACGAGTTGTTTCTACAGTATCGTTTTTCATGTTCTGAAGGTGGGGTTTCTCATGTCCTTTGCTCAACTCTAAACAGTTTTTTCGAAATATCCTGAAGCTTCATTCCACCAGAGAAGTGGAGCGTAAAATGATTTGGGTCAATCAATTTCGTCCTCGAGTGCGCCGCGCATTTTACTCCTACCTAGGGTGGATAAATTCTATACAATGAGACCCTGCTTTCTACTGTGTTTATGGATGAGAAAGAAATTAACTGTGGAAGCAAAAACCTTAAGAAGTCAAAAAATTAAAAAGCCGAGAAAGAAATTTCGGTTAATACCTTATCCTACCCCTACCTTCTCCAGCATTGTGGAGAGAACCGTCTTAGTGATTCTCGGGTGCACTCTTACATCTGATCCAGCCCGTTGCGATGTATACCATGTTTGGAAACTAGACATCGTAGTCACTCAAATGTAATTACATCCCTCAGTGAGAATGAGGAGCGTGGCGCATTCCTCAAGGAAAGTGATTATACTCAAGATTTTTCTACATTTATTCAGATGTACAGACGAAGTGTGCATCTGGTTTCTTCTATATCACCGGCCGATGTCTTTCTTTAAACGACAAACAAAAGCTTCTATCATTCAATGCTGCGAAGGAGGATTGTCGTCGACAGGTGCCTATATTCATACGAACTTGCTCTGAAACTTACATTAGAAATTCTGGAGAAACCTAGTTGGATTTTTTGCCCAATTTTTTTACTAGACCGAAACGTTGGGAAGGGACATCTGATTCTTGAAAAAATAGAAGACTTTCGATTTTCGGGGTTATGAACTACTCTTCTAATTTTTAAATAAAATATCCTTTGATATGCTTAATCCTTAGTCAATTTTGGTGTCCTGAATCTGGTTTTATAGACAAATAAACATGTTCTCATCTATGAGCATGCGATTCAGGGTGGTTATTTGGCGAGTGATATCGACGAACCGATGGATGCGGAACTTTCGCGACACGTGGTGAGGAAAAGTAAGGATGAAGGCACCTACTGGATAGATTTGCATGTCGATACAAATGGGCAGGCTACTTGGGCTGATGGAAGCCCAGTATCGTACAGGTTAGTTACCAAAACCAACTTTCTCGAGTTTCTACGGTACTCCGACTCTACCCGGCTTGCAGTTTCCATTTGTCTATTCTAGCTAAAGCCTCCCAACTGACCGGCATTCTACTTTCTCCTGATAGTCGTAGTTCCAGCCTGATCAAACCCAATTGGGACTGAGGTTCATTTGCAAGTAGAACTTTCAGAAGCTGATACGTCATACCGCCTTTGCTTGGATAACGGACCGCTTCCGAAGCGAGCCTCTTCCGGAACGTATTCACCCTTACCCCTTCCTCTTCCTCCCCCCCCCCCGATACTTTGGGGAGTCCGGTACTCGTAGGCTGAGCACGGATTGGTAGCTTCGCAATTTTGAACATTACTTATCGCTTGGACATGAAAACAGGGGATGGTCTCCAAAACCAAACTGAGATCCGCACAGGTGTCGAATATAGGGCGCATCTTGGGAACAAAACACTCACATCACACACACCTCTTGAAGTCTGAAAGATAGAGTTTTTCGACTCTTCCATTTTGGAAATCATTCAGTTTTAATTCAAAATCAGTATCGTTTCAATAATTATTTTGCCTATACAATGACTGCCGGGTGTCAGCCGTTGTACCACGAAATGTTTTGGCCCCTCCAGATTTCTAGTACCAGTAGCTCGATTCTAAGGCTAAGCACACGAACGGTTACACCAGTTTCTGATTGAATTATGAAGCCGTATCGATGCAATAAAAGTTAGAGTCTAAATGAAGTGAGTCAGTTAGGTGACACTAATTGAGCTAATTCGGAACAATTCCGTTTCCCGGATAGTCGCGTTATTGTATGAAGCCACCAATTATTGAATTCTCATAGAAAGAAACGTGCTTCTTTATATTTATTGATTTTACCATGGTAAATATACAGACAAGCTATGGGCTGATGAAATTAGGCTGCCTTAGAGATGCGGATTTTCTTGAAGCGTTTAGCTTTGACACGACGTCTACTGTATCCAGCAGGGCCGTCGTCACCTTTCACATCCATGGACGCGTCGTGATCGTTGTCATCGGTCACCTCCACCTCCACCATCTCGTATCCATCGGGGACATTGCTGCCAGGTGGTACTATGCCTGGGCCTCCAGGTCCTCCAATAACGGGCTCATTTCCACCGTCGTATGAATCTTGACCCTGACGGTTATTTACTGGACTACTATTACGTGGAGGACATGGACAGTAGTCAGCATCTCCTCCAATGTCACCGTCTTGGCCTGGAGCGCCAGGAATACCATCGGGACCAGGCTGGCCGTCGTTACCGTTTGGTCCTGGTGGTCCTGGCAGACCTGGCTGTCCTGGCTGAGCAGGCTGTCCATCTCCTCCAGGTAATCCAGGCGGACCAGGTGGTCCTGGTGGTCCTGCTATTCCTGGATTTCCAGTTCCTCTTTGTCCATTTTGACCAGGAGCTCCAGGTTGTCCAGGAGCACCAGGCTGACCGGGCTGTCCTGCATCTCCAGGTTCTCCAGGTGGTCCAGGTTGACCACTGCCAGATCCAGATCCACCAGGCTGACCAGGTTGTCCGTCGGGTCCTGCAGGTCCTGCTGCGCCATCGGGTCCTGGAGGTCCAGGTGGTCCCGCGGGGCACTGCACACATTCGCCGTTGCCTCCTGTTCCTGTGCCAGTGCCGCTATTACCATCTTTTCCGGGCTCTCCAGGAGCGCCATCTTCTCCCGGAGCTCCGTTTTCTCCTGGTGGTCCCGGAGGTCCTGGAGGACAGTTGTTTGGTCCTGCAGCGCAGTTGCACGAACCACCGGTTGCCTGTCTTCTCGAACGGATGAAAACGCTTTGTACTTCATGAACGGATTCTGCACGAATGGTTTCTGTCATATCTCTCCATGCAGCATTAGCGGTGACCTGAAAACAAATCACGTAATCTCGAGGTTTTCGTAAACTATCGCAGGCTAATCGGATTCAACTAACCTTAAACTCGTCCAGCTCTCCCATGGCATCATCGTAGAAGTTGTTAATGTCGTTGAATAGATAGCCAACGGCAATAATCGCTAAGAAGATGCATGAACCGGAAGCGATTGATGCGAACACTGAGAGCTTTTTGGCTAACATCAGACGATAGTGTAAGTGATGCCTTTGATGGACTGAATGCTTGCTTTTATATGGTGGTTGCCAAGGTATGATGGAGTAAGCTGTCGTGGGGACAGGTTTTTGCAATTAGCGTTCACCCCTGAATAGGTATTTTCGATTTCTGCGGTCGCAATGAACGCTGTAGGCGCTTTCGCTTTTAACACCAAACAACATCTGGGATACGCAAATTATGCATGGATTTCTCTTATTATTTGTCTCATATTGAACAGAAACTTGAAGCCGATAGGCGAGGTTTTTGATTTCAACGGATACCAGTTGTTGGTTTACTGGTAAAGTGCCCCGGCAAGGCTCAAATAGCTCATAGACTGGATCCCCTATTAGAGGACGGAGGCAGCGGCCTCTCAGGTGTTGTTTACTAGGTTGAGTCAGTTGTTGTTTACTAGGTTGAGTATTCCCAAAGTAATAAGTAACATCCTGGAAAGGGCTTGATCAAAGTCGAGGATTTTATTCTTCACGATCAAATACGGCTCATTTCCGGCAGGGCTTTTAACAAACAATTGGACCTAGGTCGATGACGCGGCTCAGAACTTCCGCGAAGAGACCGAAAAAAAAACTGCCTTTTTAGTTAGAAGAAACAGCAGCGTTAGGGAATACTCAGTGATTCTTCCTCCGCATCATTACTGGATCGAAGGACAGATCCTTTTTCGAGTGTTGTAAAGTACACTTTTGCCTTCTATGATTGCTTTGAATTGAGACGTTTTCGGAGAAACAAGTTGAGAGTTCTGTTGCCAAAACAAACCAGATACCATACTCAGCTTAAAAGGACAACTCTTCTGGTAACTATTTAAATACTCTTGTGCCGTGCGAGGTTGTTAGGTGGAACGATTTATTAATTCAACGGCCTAACGTTTCGACGCTATCGCCTTCTTCAGAGGCCTAAAGCAATTCGAGATGATTTGCACAGTATCCAAAAAGCGTATCTCCCCTTTGGCGAATGAGACAACAAATTCAAACCCACAATTCGAATCTTAACTCACCAGGGTTCCACCGCTCAAGCGGATGTAAATCCACTGTCGCCACAGGCGACTGTCAGTAGCGAATGAGACTTCTTGTGTTGTCCCCTTATACTTGTGATAAGGAAGATCACGTCATAATGCTACTGAGTCATAAGCCGCAGTGCGGTATATAAGGCAAAAGATCGTTGGTTATAGATGGGCACTCATCTCTACCGTTCATTTTAGGATTTCTTTGAAAGGTCCAGAACGTCTCTAATGCTTTTCTTGCTGAAATCTCCGTCTCCTGCGCTAATACCGAGCACTTTACTTCAAAGTTGTTGCCGTTGTGCTCCTCCATTTTATGTCTACCAAGCGCTGTCATCAGGCTGCCACGCCTCATACTAGCTAGGTGCTCTTTTATCCATATAGCTAGTTGTCTTCCCGTTTCTCCGATGTATGTTGACCCACATGTCCGGCATTCTATTTGGTAAATCACGCCCGTCAGTGCGCAATCACCCGTTTTTCCGTAAGGACATATGCTGCAGTCTTTCGTTATGCATTGCTTGTCGTAGAGCCTGTTCCGAACTAATAGCTAATAGGTTAAAGCAAGAGAGAAATTGGAAACTCTTCTGGTAACTACCACTTGTATTTTATATCCTACATGTGCTATTACATCCTTCACTATCATAATACACTACTTCTGCGCATAAAGGCTTAAGTACAAAGTATTTGACGTTGATAGTCCTGTTTTTTGAGATGCCCCGCGCATTTGACATCCCCTTGAATAGTGGAGGCGTGGAGTTGGACCGCGTATGTGGCCTACACAATGACTAGCTCTCATGCTGTACATATATTCAAAATTAAATACATTCTTTTCATAATTTTTGATGTTAAGCGAACTTCAGTAACCTCGATCATTAGTTCTTTTTATCCATTTTTTTATTCAAATGAATGAAGGTTATCGAATTTTTAAACGCCTTCTAGAATCAAAAAAATGTACACCGAATCTTTTCTCTGCTGCCTCTCCAATTCAAAATACGAGAATTCGTTTTTCTCTCCGATCGCTACTTTGCGATAGGAATCAGCGATGATCTCTTTTAAATTGCTTTTGATGGTCTGTTCGCAAGCGCTGATTCCATGATATTGTTCATTTTCAGTAACAGACACTGACACTATGGATAAACATAAATAAACACAATATCATTATACGGTAAACATGATCAAAAGTAATTCTTTTAAGCCTTTTATTGGTTTTCTACAAGTAGAACAAAATTGAATGCTCATGGAAGCGATCATCGATCCATCGCTCTCATCTTGTACTGGTGGCTCTATTATAGCGGTTTCCTATGTGTTGAATCTTATATAATATTCTGTTTTTTTGTTGCTGTTTTGTTGTTTTTGTTGTTTCCGACCTAAAAGCAGATGCTCAAGAACCCTCCTATTCAGAGGCGCTGACTAATCAGTATATGCAGCTTTTTTCATTTTCAAAGATTAATGATGAAGCTTATGTGGTGTGGCTGTTCAGTATTGATGGGTTCAGATTTTCCAACCCATTATTTTTCTGAGAGGTCTACCTGAAAAGAACATCTCTGGCGTCTTCACCCCACCCGTCTATACCCCTCCAGAATGATTCCATTAAACGAGAACTATCGAAAGCTCCTACTATTCACTTGAAAGTTGGAGTGCGTGGGGGCTCATCAGGGAAACGCTTATTTACTGTTTTTGCCAAGAAACTCCCATCAGAAATTGATCCTTCTGGGCATCTGAGAAAGATCCATGCATCTTCGTACTTCAGTAGCGTCAGAGCTGATCACAGCTTCTCCTATTGTACATCACCACCGTAAAATCAAAAAAGAACATAGCCGTTTCGTTTACTTTGGAAGTTGTATATCCATCGAAGCATTTTCCTATCTCAAGTTGCTGCCGAAACTGTATATGATGGGTTTTTGAGTCACTTCGTCGAGCAATATGCTTTCAAATATCATAACGATTCGAGATGCAATTCGAATATGTGGCGCACCCGAGTTAGAGTGTAAAAAGTCAAACGCCTTGACTTTTTTTTTCAATATGTTTTGCTTGGAAGCGGAAGAGTTCTTTACATATTCGATTTTAGAGAATGGATTCTTTCTGATTCGCATGAATTATATCGTACAGGGTGTTATGCGAGACGCGTTGCTGTATCCATAGGCGAATCCCTCACAAGAACTCCGAGAATGGCTGCTTTCATAGTCCGCCGGCCGGCGTGCCGGCGTGGAGGCAGTGCTAGCGGGGAGGAGGGAGGCAGGCGGATAGGCAAACAGTCCACGCCCCTTCGAGGGGTTGAAAACAAACAACCTTCGAAGGGGCNTGGACTGTTTGCCTTACACTGTCTGCCTCCCTCCTCCCCCCCTAGCACTGCCTCCGCCGGCACGCGCGCCGGCCGGCGGACTATGAAAGCAGCCAATGAACGAGCGTGACATACGGCTAATTCCGTCTCTCTGTCAGTACGGTTTCAGTTGAGATCTGTACTGATCTATCGGAAGGGGCCTACATGTTCATGCTAGCTTGAACTTTCGCCCCTTCGAATTTATTGTCACAACTTTTTTAAAGAAGTCACTTACTCAGTCGTTTACGATGACCTAGGACTTACAGCAATTAAGCAAAGTGTAGATAAGGTAGCTGAAAGATGGCTGAAAGCATGCTTGGGCCTACCTCTAGAATAGACTCCTGGTTGCGATACTTGGCCTAATGAAACCTTAGGCCTAGAAATCCACTTTGAAATTCATTGAATCTGATTCGGATATAACTCAAACAGAAACTCAAACAACAAAGGCCTGAAGGTAACTTATGTCGAGAAACAAGTAGAGCTCCTCTTTAAAGTTGGTTTTCGTTGTGTAATAGCTTATAGTTACCTTCGAATACTCATTCTGGTTTCCTACAGTTTTGTGCATATGTAGTAATGCTGTCTTATACTGCTTAGCTCCATTTCCAGACCTCCTGGCTCATCTTTGTCAAGGCCAAACTCATGTGTAGCCTATGTTGTATCTGGAGGCATGGCACACTGGAACTCATTACCATGCGATATTCCAGCCAACTATCTTTGCGCTTTCCCTCCACAAGGTGGATTTTTAATTATTTCTTATCTTTATCAATGATCAACAGAATTCGTGAAATATTTGGTTGATAGCTGTAAAATTCATTCGTTTCTATTCTAGTTCCATTTGCTTCTTCAATTTTGAGGTGGTTTTGTTTTTTTGGTCGGTTCTAAGTCATGTTACTAATTCAGAACCAGCAAGGAAACGAGAAGATGCGCCCACACCGACGGAAGAGCCAAAAGTCGTTTTTGAAGGGACGAAACCGTGAGTTTTGTCGTGAAGTCCGTATTAACTTGGACATGACCGCTAGTCTATCCACCACGATGAATTCTGCGAGATGGCTCGGTTGCAATGTGGTCTTGGTAGAATACCAGAGCGGTATTGAAGTTACACGAAAATGAGAGAAGTGTGCCGAAGGGCAAGTGGTACCAATCGTCAAGGCTAAGGAGCCGCAGTGCGACCGCTCGCGTCACTGTCACACATTTTTTTACAATGATTGGTCTCATTGAATGATTTGTGTGACTACGTCGCGGTAGTTTTGGTGTTCCAGTTCATGCAGTTGTTCTGGATTTGATTCCAATATGGTGATCGGGGAACTCCAGGTCTCTCAATTGTTTTAGGAAGGCAATCAATCTATCGTGATTGATTGCAGAACTGTAGGGAACGCGAACGTCCATAGGAATCATGAATTTCATTCTACGAATTCGATGATTTCGGAGCAGCGAATATCTAAATAATGGAATCTTAGGGTGAAGCTGCGGGCAATCGTTGCCCACTTGGGTGACCCCAACTCATCCAGAGCAATGATTGCCACATCCGTTTTCGTTTTTCCTCGTTATTCATTCTGAAGGCTAGATTTCTATTGAAACACCTCTATAGTTCTAATAAGAAGTCAATACTCACGTACCAAACTCTGAAGGAAATGCCCAGTGTCAGCAGTTTTATTTCCTTCAGTCCTTTCCCACTGCAGTTGTTACAGGAGTCTATCGCGACTCTATCGATAGTAGCTGGAGATTTGTTCTCGTGGGGTCTTGCCTATACGATCGCCATCAACACCGTATTGACATAGCGGGATCTGTGAGGAGATAGTGGTCATCGGTAGTAACTCTCATGTTCGTCATCCGTCGAATCCGAAATTTGGTACTTTCAAAGGTGCTCGTGCGCTACCTTCTTATACAGTAGCGAAGCGCATGCCGGACTTCTTCAGACCGCTTTATTGGGGTTCTTCAGAGCTCATCCTACGAGTTTCGAAGTCAGCTGTGAAATACCAGTTTCTTAGCTTTTTGTTTTGCTGCGAGACGTTTTTTATGAGGAAATAGCTTCAACATTTTAAGAAAAGTTGCGCAGTGGGAATACCTTCAGGATCAGCTGTCTTGGGAACCGGTTCGTAGGCGTCGTCAGGCTGCAGTTGTCACGGTGGTCTCTTTCCGTTACGTCATCAATGTTTGAAAGCTTTTCACGCTCACACTGAATGGATATTCAGTTTGTACAGTAGGTCACAAAAAGCCAACTCACATTTGGTTTGTTCCTGTTGAATCAGACCTGATGATGTGTAGATGGCTCGAAAACTCGAACCGTAGCGTTTTTACACTCTTAACGCGACCAAAGCCACTGCGCTACCCACCCGTTTCTTCTGCAAGAAAGGAATGTCGTTGAACATCCGAAACTGACATAGCTCCGTGAATAGTAAAGTGGNTTCATTGTAATCTCACAGATACATATGTGCTGAGTCATAGNTAAGAAAAGTTGCGCAGTGGGAATACCTTCAGGATCAGCTGTCTTGGGAACCGGTTCGTAGGCGTCGTCAGGCTGCAGTTGTCACGGTGGTCTCTTTCCGTTACGTCATCAATGTTTGAAAGCTTTTCACGCTCACACTGAATGGATATTCAGTTTGTACAGTAGGTCACAAAAAGCCAACTCACATTTGGTTTGTTCCTGTTGAATCAGACCTGATGATGTGTAGATGGCTCGAAAACTCGAACCGTAGCGTTTTTACACTCTTAACGCGACCAAAGCCACTGCGCTACCCACCCGTTTCTTCTGCAAGAAAGGAATGTCGTTGAACATCCGAAACTGACATAGCTCCGTGAATAGTAAAGTGGAGAGAGGAGAAAATTCGGTGTGCACTGGAGTTAACCGAGGCCTTATTCTGACTCTCATCCGAGTCCTCCACACCGTCACTCAGTCGAGTTTTCTTTTATCGCGGTTATCCTCTCGGTGTGCTACCTACCCCAAGTGAGTGGTGGTACCGAGCACGAAGTTTGACAATTGTCTCAAAATAGGTCCTTTTTGAAACTTCAATTAAGAATGTGTCTATGTACCATAAAAAGAAGGCTCGGTGGTTTGAGTATCTCCTCTCGAACATTTATTTCGTGCAGCACCCTTCAATTTACTGACTAGGAAAATAAACCTGGACGTTTTTATCGACCAAGCCTGGACGTGTACGCCACGAAGTCAGCTTTTATTCCCAGATGGATCACGAAGGTACAAGGAGGGAGAAAATTTGTTGAAAGGGAAGAGAAGTTGCATCTCCGATACTCTCAGATGATACTTTTCCCGTCGTCCTGTCCCAATCCTGCCCCTTGCATTCACATTAATTCGACGACTACTGATGGCAAGCAGGTTTTCCTTTTCCTTTCAAGAGCGATTGAAAAAAAATTGGTCGGCAGTGGAGGTTTTGCAAACTAAATAAATAAGTTATCGCTAATTTTCGCGGCAAACCTCTCTCGGGATGTTCTAGAAGTCTCAAGTCTAAGGTCCGATGTGGAAGTTACTCAGTCGAGGTATTATCTAACTCTCCTAGACATTGGTTTGAGCGGAGAATGATCACATTCTACCTGTCTCGATAACCATGAATAAGAGATTCTACTGAAAGATCCCTGTACCTCCGACCTGGAATTTCTACCCCTTTCTCGGGGAAAATCCCCTGGTTGCTTTTTCTGTTGGGACTGTTACCGTGTGCTACGCCTTACTCAACGCAGCGTAAGCAGAGCCGCACTTAAAGGGAATTTTCTGACGAAACTGGCTTTCCTCCTGCGTTTGCACATCTCCGTTGTTTTTCGCCTCCTCGTCTGGTATACCAGTTCCTTCAATCTCCAAAAGTCGCCAATATCTCGATCTTACGCGCTGAGATTAGCTGTGCTGTTCGAGGTCGCCCCCTATCGCATGACTCAACGACCGGTTTTCATCGTCTACACATTCGGCCTCTCTGGCTCCGCCTAACGCCACGAGCGGCAAAAGCGTTGAAGCGATTTCGCACACATACATACGGGAAACTGTCTTTCGGCCTTTCCGAGAACTTCCAAGTCAACATTCCGGAGTAATCGATAATCGATTAGCTGGTTGGAATGTCTGGAATGTTTCTAGTACTCACGATACTAGCTATTGTTTCCGGAAGTCTGGCTGAGTGGCATGAGCCACATCCTAAACGCGAAAGCAATACGAGGTAAATAATTCAGTTGGTCACATTGACGCTTTTGATTTTACCGAGCGTTGACCGGATGCGTGGTCTTGAATTGATGAGCAAGATTACTGTATTCCACTACCGTATGACCCCTCTCAATTTAACTCCGAACTCATTTTCATCTTAGCTCACTGTTACCTTTTGTTATCCTGCGAAGAAGCTCACCAGGGATTGATGGATATGGTAGTCTTCTGCTGAATTACTGTAACTGCATTACTGTAATTACTTCCCAATTACTGTTTTGAGTTCACAGATCCTGGAAAATCTTTTGCTGGTAGTGGATTTTTTTGAATTTTTTCGTTTTCTTCTTCCTTCATCTTTCATAAATTACTCACTTGAAACCCGCATCGGGAGACTATGCGTTCTCTCTTCTTCGCACTTCCGAAAAGTTTTCATCGATCGTTCTGGCTTATTCGGGAGATTGAAATGCCTGGCGCACTCTGCAAATCTGACAGCTTCCCATATGTTTTTGCCCTCTCATTGTAGGCTTGTTCTTTATAAGTTCCTTATATCTGATAGGTTCCTTCCTGAATCAAGCTCCTAACCCCGATTATTGTGCGTCATTATGGCCGGAAAGACCAGTGGCTGCAGTCTTTTCAAGATGCATCGTTCCACCCTATTCAACCGGACAGGAGTAATCTTACTCATTACTTAGCTACTGATTCCTTTGTAGATGACGTCAGTTTGCAAGGTGATCCTGTAGATCGGAAGGCCTTATTTACGTTTTTTCATTGCGATTCTGTGAAGCAGAAGACTTTATTTACGTTTTTTACTTACGTTTAGTTCGTTTTGTCAATCCTTGCTAGCTTATCCGCCATGGCTTCTCGTCTTTTTTTTTTCTTTCCGCCCTTCTTCCTCGGTTGAGCGCATTCCTTGGCATAAGTTGGTATAATAAATAAACAATAGTTATTATTTCGAGTGAGAGGTTAAGGCGTGGTGTATCCTTCAAAAATTGCCAACGCATACCTTCAAAAACGTACTTATGTACATCAATTGGACATGTCTTAGTTTTAGTCAGAGAATTCAATCGTTTTGAAAGCCAACTATCGCTAGTTTCAGTTCAACTTATTTACTCAAGACCTTCACAGTTGCCTCTCGGCAAACATGACGTTATGGTGCGCGAAGGCGTTTGAGGTCGGCTGCCCACAAAACCTCCGTTCTCCGGAAAAAAACAATGACCTTAGCGAGGCTCTTGATGCGTAGGCGGAAACGATCTTTGCTCAGATTTCATTGGCGATGGAGATTGCTCAGCATTTGTCGATTGCTTCGGGAATGCGCCATGAACTCGACTTCCACCGGAAATCGTAATTGTATTTGATGGGTATATGCAGTGAATATCGGACCGAGAACAAACCACAGGACAGTTTATCCTTTTGAGTGAAGCCGTTAAGAGCCCTAGACCTCACGAGTATAGGAAACTAGATTCGTCTGAGTGAGGTGGAATCTAAAACATGATGTGGGAGCTATCTGTTTGACAACTATCCCTCTCATTACTACTTTACCATTGCTTTGACCAAGGCTTCAATTTGAATTCTCCTGGGTGTGATCCGCATGGAGCAGTCTCACCTCTGAACGAGAAAGTTAAGGATTTCTTAAACTGCTTGCTTTCGCTCTCATCCATGTCGAACTCGAAAATTCACAATCTAGAAGATCGTATCTCAAAGGCACCACGCCTTCTTTTCGGGACAAGGACATTGACGCCTAGGTTGAGGTTCTAGTTGTCTACACGTTTCCATTTCATCGTTTCAATTCAAATGCATGGCTTACCCCAGGTTTTTTTTTTCTGACCAAAGGATTCTACTATGTGATGATTTTTGAAGATTTTTTGATCTAAAGTGTTATTTATTTCTTTATTTACTGAGTTTGTATGCCTATGACCTGTTGGATTTGATGAGCAAATACGAAACTAGCCGGACATGGTGCACATTTGGAATGTGTCGATGGATTGCGGACACCGCCGTTCGCCAAACACCAAGCGGTTTGGCGGTTTGCATGAACTGCAACGAAAAGTAGCTGGATATACGAACACCTTTCGGAAATCACACATTGGTCGACCACGATTTTGATGCTCTTCCAGAGACGACTTTCCTTTTTCGAAGATGTGTAAACCAATCAGGGGTTTCAACGAATTTGTTTTCAAGAGGAGCCAACACCTCTTCTTTTAGACTGCGTTGTAGGAGAGCCATCTGTCATTCACGATGGGGAGAAAATCATCATTTCTTCACTTTTACAGTGATTCTCCCTATCGCTCAGTGCGTGTATGAAACCCGTCCATCTGGATTTGATGATTAAAGGGCAGTTAACACAGCACAGACACATGCTAACTCAAAAAATGGGGTGTTCTCGTACATTGTAGTCCATCCGTGTTGGGGCGATCACTGGAACAAATCACACTCGGGGAATGTGTATTACAAACACCTCGGTCTGAGAATTTCCGTACCACCCACTTCCAAACCACGCCCATCGGATGGTAACAGTGGAAACTGTGGTATAATCCTTACTATACAGTGGCGATAGATTCAAAAGTTTTCCTGTGTGAATTCAGGGGTCTAGGAGCCTTTCTGGGAAGCTACGGAAAATGATTTTTCCACATTTCAACAGTCTCATGAAGTCATAGGCCTGAAGAAGTCAAACATTCAGGAGCGGATATCTGCAAAATTATTTTCTGAAATCTTTATCGTGACTGTTTTTATATGAGATTAATCCTGTTCCTAACTTATGTCGAAAATTGTTCCCAAAATAAATTCGTCTCTGTCAAAGTCACGTAATGAACACTTTTGGTCAAGGACAAGTGTCATAGCTTGACAAATTGGCTGTGAACTCTGCCGTTTATTTTCATCACCCGAACCTATTGCTACTTATGCGACGAAAAGGACCTTCCACATTTTCGGGCTCTAAAAACAATCTAGTTGTTCCCATTTTCCACTGAAATCCTTTGATTACATCTTTTTTCAGCGCCCCGGCAGTCGGCGAAATCTTTGCACCGGCCAAATACTGTGATGCCGAAAAACGGAAAGGAATACAGTATCCGAAGACGAGGGCATGCACGGAAGCACGTGTAGCATGCCCGGATCCGGAAACCATTACAGGTTCGGCTTACTTTTCTTAAGGTTTTTTCTCAAAGGTTACGGGCCGACTTTTTGAGAAGTACTTTTTAATGGAAATTTACAACGAGTACTTCTAGAGCTGATGTAGGGATGGGCTGGCAAAAGACGTTGGGGAGGGATTTAAGTAGTATTCAGACAAATCTTGGCTGGTTGTGGAGTTGGCCACGTCTAAAGCTGCCTTTTCTAATCTACTTTGACGACAATGCGGCTCTTTACATTGACAACCGGTCTAGTTAATCGCTAGAAGTCAGTGTTGGACTTCCCCAATGCAAAACCTCGCGCAAGCATAGGAAATGGTTTGCTCAGGCCCAGTCACTGTCTTTTAACCCTCTCGGATCTCAATACGTCTTCATTGTAATCTCACAGATACATATGTGCTGAGTCATGAAAGTTCCTGAAAAAAAATCTTTTCAATTTCGAAAAACCAGTTCCGATTGAAGGTCGACAGAAGATTGCGAGGCCATTGACATCTGAAGAATAATGGTGCAAGGCGAAAAGGTCGAAATGATCCTAAAATTCCAAAGCAGTGACGCAGAACTGTTTTTTCCGTCACAGAAATTGTATTGAATATCAGCAGAAATTGTAGAATAAGAGGGAGATTGGGAGAGGGCTCGATCTACTCGGTATTGGCTGTAAATATGGAAATTACAGGAATGAAATCATCATTAAACCCCTTATTCACGGCCCATTCAACTGTTTTTTGCTACACTTGAAACATCATTGATCCAAAACGTCTTCATTGGCCCGTGGGGTACGCCGTGCAGTTGAAACTCATTCAGAAAGGTCCTTCTGTGTCTTTTTGGTATTCTGAAGATGCCTTTCATTTGACTTTCAAGTTGTCACTGATGCATCGACATTATCTATGTACATCAGAGACACTGTAATGATTCCAGGAGAAGTTGTGCGATACTGTAGTTGTCAAACTGCAAAGTGGGAAACTCCGGACACGACAAACTGTACCCATAGATGGGTAGCTGAAATGCGGTCTGCCATCGAACGAGGTGATCCGGCAGAACAAATCAGCTATCGTATGGCTGCGGACCTCGAGTAAGACTTTTCTTCAGAAATGAATAAGATGAAGGAATCACTGCATAGCAGAAACCTGATTTGTATTGATTGGTATCGATCGTCTATAAATCTCATCCCATTTTTTAGGTCAACCCTATCGAGACAACTTTATGGTGGCGATATTACTGGTAGTGTCTCGCTGAGCACCGATGTTCTGGCATTGGCACGAAGTCAATTCGGCGCCCTTGATGATCGAAACCAACGTCAAATGAGGGCTACAAACTTCACGGAGGTTGGCCAGTGATAGATTCCGATTTCTCAATTTTTTGATTTTTGGCATTCCAATATTTCAGTCATTTGGTTCTTCCGGTGATCATCTGTTGTCCCCGAAGGCAGTTCCCGTGTGGGAGGAGTTGTCTACACCTGTTCGTATAGACCATGCCTCCACACTTATGGGCGCTTTGGAACAAAGTGCACTACTTCTTGCTGATTATACAGTTGATCAACACAAGAGGTTACAATATGATTACTGGGGTGAGTAGTCAATCTAGGCATAGAAAAATTCGAAAAATTCAGGAATCCAAGATATTAATTCCAACTTCTATCCTGGAAATATCGGCGAGGGGTTGGTTTAAGATCGGAGCTCTGGGAAGGTGAATTAGTTAGAATCCAAAAACATTAGACAATCCTTTTTCAGCAATGGAAATTGACGTTCACCGTCCAGAAGCGTATGTGAGCCGAACGAATGAGGCACTCAATTCAGATGATGATTCTCATGACTCGCCAATCCCAATGGACGATAACTCCCGGCTTATTGGTACCATGTGGGTAACCTCAGTTACCTTTCGTAGTTCAGATATTTCCAGAACATATCTATAATTCGATTATTCATTTACTGTAGTCCATATTCCGTTATTTGGAGTACTGCCTAATTTACTATGTATATTTTTATTGATCAGACTCACCCAGATTATGGATATTTGTCGTTCGGTCTCTTTCCTACGTTTATACTTTGTGTAGCCGTCGGCTTCTCCCGGGGACAACCTCGGCCATAAAAGTGCTTACGCTGAACTTTTCCAAATTGCGTAGCAGTCCGTAATCCTCAGGCTACAATAACATCCTTCTTGTTCCCTGATCCCTCCTGCCTCGAGTGCATGATCTACCATTAGTTCAATCTTTATTCTTTATTTTTGCTGGATTTTTTGTTTTATATTTTATTTTTTGTGTAACAATAGCATCAACGCATGGACAGGCAAGATTGGGAATTGGCTTTTCTTCATTTCCGAACTAAACACCCCGCCTGCATTTTCAGTGCTGGCGCAGCCGCTCCACCTGCAGCTCCTCCTACCACAGTACAATTCAGTGGATTCAGTCAGTCACCGATCATTACTTTACCACCACTGGATGTTCTCAGTAAGTCAATCAGTTCCTTTATCAGTGTTATTGTAGAAACCTGTGAGGACGTAAAACAGCTGTTTAATTAAAAAAAAACAAAATTCTTATCAATTATTACCTTGCAGGATCATCTTCAATAGCTGCAACCAACCCACAAATAGGTGCGCCAAGACTGGGAGCGTTCTTCCATCCTGGAGTGGTGAGTGATGAGATCCTTATCGTCATTCATTATTTGATTATTTTTTGTCTCCTTATTTTATTTGATAGGATTTTTTTTCGAAATTATTGAAGTTTCAATTTATGGCTCAATTGCTGATATCCCCCCCCCCCTTAACGGTTATGGTGAAGTAGCGGCGCCCGAAAATGATTACAGGTATGACTCTGAGGCCCTCTGCTTTCGGAAGGAGGTAGTGGGGAGAGGGGCAGCGGAACAAGGGGCAGGGGAGGGTGGGAGGAAGAGGCAGCTTCCTAAATGGCTTTGGAATCCCTTTCTATTGCGCAAAAACATTGTAGCTGAGTTATGCTAAAGCTTCACTGCTTGTTTTTAGAAGGTATCCCAACCATCACTCGATCGTTCTCGCCTACGCCTTGGTTACTATGTTTTCACTACCTTTGGTCAACTGCTGGGCCAGACACCAGACGTCATTGTGAACAGCCATGTGATTGGAGCATCTGTAGACGACGCCACAAGGAGCTTGACGTAAGTCAGTTTCAGTGGGTTCCAGAGTTGCTGTGGAAGCTCACAAACCCGAACGGGCACCATTTGCATACTTACTTTCAGTTAGATTGATGTCGGTGTAGGCAGAGCTAGAGAAGGACACTAGATGAGAGGGAGGCCTAACGCTGAAACTCGGTATCGACCTCACCGCATTGCCAAACCCACTACCTGAACTGCCACATTAAGCCGAATAGAACGGGCTAGGTCAATCAGGAAGTGAAGCAATAGGTTAAGAACCAATGTAACACTTGTGGACCCCTACCATCTATCTCGTCGCTGGAGTGGTTCACTTTCCATCTCTGCGTCACTGGTATCTCTGATAATTTCTTCAACAGTTGCCTTGACCAGTAGACATCAGGATTAGCAGAAGTACAAAAAAGTTGAACTCACTATAAGTTGGCCTCCAATGTCGTTCGTGTCAAATTGAACGCCATCAGACGAACCCTCTAGTCTGAATGGGATATGGGACATATTCCAAAGTAATCTCCTGATAGTGGCAGCATTATATCATCAAGCCTGTCAGGTGCCTTTCATGAGGAGAAAAAAGGAGACCAGCGATCTCATTATTCAGGCTTCCAGAAGATGAACCGGCTACGTTCACTTTTTATCATTTGATAAAGAATGGTGTCAGCAATCCACGATGTGTTTATTGGAACTTGAATAACAAGTGAGTTCTTCAAGCTTGCTTTATTAAGTTCAAATCTCAATTGGAAGGCCCTATCCGAGTTTCAAATCTAACCAGATTATTCTTGAACATCTGTAGAGCCTGCAGTTAGAATTGAATGTGGACTAATGTTGATTCGAAAAGTCGCGATTTCCCCACTCTCTACGTTCCTTCCCGTCGTCAACCCCGGGTAACGGAACTTCTCCCCGAATTCTCATAGCCTGTTGCAGTGGTTCCGCGGCGACTCTCCGTAACCTTCCAATCGGAATTCGAATCTTTCCCTTCACAACGCGCGGTAGCATGAGGCGAGCACACACGTCATTCGGGGAGAAGACACCAGTCCATCAGCCCCCAGCCCCNCCCCCCCCCCCTTCCCCTCCTACCAATCCTAACCCGGAAAGGATTACTCAAAGCTCAGAGGTTCCAGCCTAAACTTTTCTTAAACTTCAAGTGCCTGCAAGAGAGTGCATGGGGCATGGAAATCTTTGAATTTATAGGACCTGGAGCACGGATGGTTGTCGTCTGATCTCAACGAATGATGATGCAACACAATGTGCATGTAATCATCTAACGAGGTGAGTTTTCGCAATTGGGCTTGCGCAGAAGATCCACATTGGCCGCACCGCAGCCGCTCACGTATCTGGCGCATTGAACCATAAGAAATTTATTGGGGTTCGAAGCAAATTAGAAAAATGTTCAGTGAGTAACCTATTTTGCATAGACGTCCACAAGTGAAAGTGATTCCTTCGAGAAACAGGAGAAGGAACTGGGGTACCATTTATTTGTTCTGATAAAGTGCGAAGAGAGGTTCGGAAACGTAAAAAAAGTTCTAAGAGATATGATGAATCACAAGACAAAGTTGCTTCTGGCAGTGTCAGAAATCCGAAATTGTGACTGAGTGACCAGGTGCCCTCCAATGGAAAAGTGTCCAATGTGTAGGACGCATCGCGGCCGCTCGCCTAAGTGTCATATTAAATCACACAGGCGAACGATAGCGTTTTTGGGCTACAACTTTATCCAGCTAACCATGTGAACTATTATAAATTGAGGGACAGAATGGAGCCGTTTTCAGTTTTGCAATCCTTATGGACGTGTCTGGTCAAGTGTCAAAATATGCTGGGACGATGTCCGCTGCCCTCGATGTGGTGTCGATCATCGGCTGTGCCCTTTCCGTGGTGTGCCTAGCGCTTTCCCTATTCGTCTTCACATTTTTCAGGTGATTTTTTTTTGTTTGGGGAAAGGATGGTGCATGGCTTACCCACTGTTGATGACTCGCATCTGAACTCTCATACCTGTTCCTTATTCCTTCTCTTCAGTTACTGCAACTACAGTAAGCTCTCAAATGTTTCAGATCACTGTATAATGTTCGGAACACCATACATAGGAATCTCTGCCTGAGCTTATTGATCGCTGAATTGGTTTTCATGATAGGTATGTACTATTCGAAGGTTGTTAGTTCTAATTACAGAATAGCTAATGGAATATTAGATAGTGGAACGGCAGCTTATTATCGTTGGTGTACGCTACGTACTACACTTGTTTTAGGATCAAGTTGTGGACAGCATTGCTCTCCTGATTTTAGCTAGATTAAGATCACCGGAAGGATAACGGTCGTGTTTCGAAATCAAAATTCAGAATTGCTCCAGAGTCCATGCCTTTATGTTGTATGGCACACCATTGGGTGTTTTCAAATAAATTAAATATAGGCGGATGTATCGTATCTAGAACAGCATAGCAGAAAAGCTCTTCATATCCCTTTTCGGTCTGAGCACCATCTTACGGTAGCTGTAATTGGTTAAGTTCACTCCAACGACTTGGTTCTTGTAGGAAGCTCGACCCCTCATATACTGCCGGTACAGCTTTTCTATGCTAGGACAAGGATCCAACCATAACTGGTAGTGACATCTAACCATAAAGGTTTCGATATCCATTAGGGGTTGCGCCGTTTCTTATCACTGACTTTGTCTTCTTCCATTACTGCATAGATTCTTCATGAGCTACATATGAATGTACATCTTAGATTTTTAGGAATTGATCGTACCGAGAATCAGGTTGGCTGTGCGGTTGTGGCTGTTTTGCTACACTATTTCTTTTTGGCCGCGTTCTGCTGGATGCTTCTCGAAGGGTACCAGTTATATCTAATGCTGATTCAGGTAAGTAGACCCCGTTCGGATTATCCAAAGTTGTTGATCACACTAGGATATGAATGAGGTGCTATCCCATGGGTTCAGGCTGTATAACTGATGCCACTAATTACCCAAGAACCTTTGTCGCATGGTGACCGTTCCAGATACGTAAATCCTCTCCTTCCTTCTCCATAATTCGAGTCAACTGAGAGACACCTAGAATGTAGACACTGGAGTAATCCTTTCGCTGTAGGTTGCCCATATTTCAGCCACGGAGTAGTGAAGTTATCCCTCGCAACCTATTAGGGTCAATCCCTACTCTTGCTTTGGTGCCGGCGCTTGACCTCAGGAAATAAAATTAGCAGACTAAAGTAAAACCTGGAACTCTTCAAAAACTATTTCTTCTGGTTTTCTTTTTTATACAACTCCTGTATATTAGGTGTTCGAGTCAGACAAGACCCGGCTGTTCCTCTACTACAAGTTCTCGTATGGATTCCCAGCTGCGGTCGTCGCTATATCAGCTGGTGTCACGTGGCATAATTATGGAACCGATGAATAGTAAGTGCTTTCATCATCTTTTCGTCGAACCCTCGACTCAAAGCACCCCCATTCAGCTGTTGGATTGACACTTCATCATCGACCCTATGGGCATTCATTGGACCTATCATTGGCGTCATTCTAGTGAGTGTTTTTGTCGGGCCTTCCGTGATCGATCGAATTAATTCCCATATCGATTGATTGCTACGAATTTCAGGCCAACGTCATTTTCCTCGGCATTGCATTAAAGGTGGTGTTATCGGTGAAGAGCCGGGATCGCAACGATCGTGAAAGGTTTTTGGGATGGATCAAAGTAAGCTCCGAACTCTTGGCAAAAATTGATCAGTCCAGTGATTTCTTCGCTAGGGACTTCGCCATAAGTAAAAGAAACCAATTTCATGATCCATCATTCTTTGCCATACCAGTGACTACACTATAAGCGGATCCGCGGCGCAATCCTAAAGGGGCGCAGGACTATTACGAACACATTTCGGCGAAAACATTTGGAATTTGTTGGCGATCCAAAAGCTTTTCAGGGTTCCGCAACATTGCTGTGTTTACTTGGAGTCACATGGGTTTTCGGATTCCTCACAGCCGTCCGTGGTACCGGTGGAGTGGTCTTTTCCTGGATCTTCACCATACTGAACTGTTCTCAGGTATGCTTTTCAAATAGACAGTAAGGAAGCTCCACCTGAATAGTTGAATAATACTGCTTGTGTAAGAGTAGTTAGATGGCGCTTAGGAAGTTGATCAGAAAGTGGTTCGATATTCTCGACTTCTGGGGAAATGAAGGGTCTGGTGGTGAGCTGGCGTAGTTTCATCAATTGATTTCGAATTGCTCGATGGCACCACTTACCCCCATACCAGCTTCTCCTTTTTCAACGACATCTTCATGTGGGAATTCAGGGAGTATTCATATTTGTTCTACATGTTCTAATGAACTCCAAAGTGCGCTTGACGGTGGTTCGTTGGCTACGAAGTGGTGTATGCTGCCTTCCTGATAAATCCAGCGCCGACAACAGCAGGTTCGCATATTCACTGACTTCATTCCTTAAGTCCTCTCCTCTAACTAGTGGAATCCATAGCCGCATAGTAGTTCTTCAGGGAATACATCAGTAGCCGTCAACGGATTATGAACATGATGAAGGCAAACTCTCAAAGTGGGAGCAGCCCTAACACCGCAAGCACGGATGACAAAGAGAAGCAACTCACTCCTACCAGTATGTTTTCCCGCATATTAGCTTTGTGAGGTCACAGAAGTTTACAAATTCAAGACCGAGAAGGAAAAATGAACGAAAATCACTTGTAAAGTTAACTCTTTTACGGACACCCAGATCACTTATTGATCCAAAACGCCCTCATTTGGTTCATATTTTAGGCCCTCCATTCGAATGTAATAGGTCATCAGTTCTAGAGAGAAGCGGTCATGGAATTTAGACCAGCCAGCCAACCCTACCTCCAGCTTTTATCAGCTCTTAACTTTCTTCGTGTACCTACCTGAATGTACTTTGGTAAACGAATTATCAACCTGCCAGAGTGATTAGAGGCAGTAAAATTGATGAATCGATAATTCTTTGTTGGTTGGCTCTGCAGATCATTCTATTTGCCCAACATTCTTTCAACTTCCTGCACAATTTTGTACGAATGTTCAGTGCATGGCGCAATCCTGGCCGAATTTGAAAAATACCAGCATATCACTTTGTAAACATTCTCTTCATCGATTGATAACTATTACATAGCTTTCAGCCAAGACAAACGAATGGTTACGACATTTGCCGATGGAAGGGGAGACTAGTCCCCTTTCATCACCAAGGATCTCGAGTGATATGGCATCGACACCTGATGATCACATAAGCGGCTCATCGGATCCACGGTAATCATCTGATACACGTTGTGTCTCATGACAAAATTCGAGTTTTTTTTTAAAATACTGCTATCTCTGAGCTTCATTTAGACTTCTTGTCGTTTTGTGTACTTTTCGAAGCTCTATGCTCTTCACTTTTATTGGTGAGCTTTCGGCATATAATGCCTTCGTCAGACCTTAATTACTTACAATACATTGCTGCATACAATCAGTTACTATCAGTTACAAAACAAAACACATCGAATCATACCAAGTCAAGCGGAANGATGTGAGGGTTTTGCACAGATATTTGGTGCGGCCACTGGAAAGGAAAATCATGGAGGCACGGGAAATATACCGCATCAAGCCGGAAATCAATGCGAAAGAGGAGTTGCATGACCTACTGAGACTGATTACGTGATAACACATAGTCACCTCAGAACAAGAGCGGCCATTTTCCCTTCAAGATCCCCGCCGACAGGTCCATTCCCCCTTTCCCTCAATATTTCCGCTTGACTTGGTATGATTCGATGTGTTTTGTTTTGTAACTGATAGTAACTGATTGTATGCAGCAATGTATTGTAAGTAATTAAGGTCTGACGAAGGCATTATATGCCGAAAGCTCACCAATAAAAGTGAAGAGCATAGAGCTTCGAAAAGTACACAAAACGACAAAAATTCGAGTTGTTTTTTTCAGCGCTTCTCCCATGGACATTCATGGCGATCCAGTTGAGAAGCATGCACCCGTGAAGCGAAAGAAGTTCCCATTGGGTGCTAGCGAACATGAACGTCGTTCGCAAGATGTGGTGGTGGTTCGATTTTAACCCAGGTCATTCCCACCTGTTCCCACCCACATTATCAGTGGGCATAGCATTCTCCTGGAGGATAGGACTTAGCCGATTGAGGAATTATTCTCATCATAATAATAATATGTAGAAAGCTCATTAAAACGAGGTACTAGCCATGTTACTGTTACTTATTTGAATGTGATATTCCAAAAGCACAGAAGTCGTCCTGAAAGTGTGGGCGGGGGCGTCGTCCTTCCCAGGCGGTCTGCCATTGGAGGAAGGATCGAAAACGTTCTCCAATGGCTGACATTCAAGGGCTCGTGCACGGACGCTACGCCCACATTTGCGCTACCGTACTGCTTTGATTTTGTCTGCCTGCCTAATGTATCTACTTCGATTATTCTCCTAAGTTTATTTTTCATTCATGCTTTGTGCGAAGGTGGTAAAATACAGTTTCTAGGGCAGCAATCGATATCTATATATTGCATACTATTCCATGTCATTGCCTTTATCGAGAAGAGGTGCTTTGAATGCATTCTGCATGATTACGCATAATTACTTAAGTAATCAAAAATCACACGGGATATGAATGCACCTTAAAAATGTGTTTGTAATGTGTATTTAATTGAATAAATATATTATTTTTCTATCTGACTTGGTCTTGTCCAGTTGTTGTCTGTTATGAAATATCGAAGCAAGCAAAACTCTAACGCCGTACCCGGTCAAAACCCTTTCTAGTGCACCATGCATTATACAGCAACCGAGTGTTGTGTTAGTGCTCGAAAGCCTACAGAGTCTATGCATAAACTTATGAAGGTTGGTCACTATTTGTTGTTTAGTCTTCTCTGCTTGTAAACAAACATGGTAAAAGCCAACTGAATCTGTAAAACCCACATCTGGATTAGGATTGACATCGTACGATATGAATCAGTACTGTGCCATATTCAGATTCATTCAGATAATTCTTAGTGTTTATTTAACTTGCTAGGCACGAAATCATTCGGAAGTGAACCCTGAATAAAGTTATGGGCTCACTGGCATGAAGTTTCAACTTATATCGTGACTTTGGAAGCAATTCCCGAACTATTACCCCAGCTTAGTCATAATTTCAGCGCTTTCATCTCTTAATGATAGAGTGGGCCCCATGGTTTCATATAGCCGTTTCTGACCATAAACCGTTGGTCATTCGGGTTTCTAAATTCGAAAGCCTACTGGTACCTCAAAAGCAGTTTACCGATATGCTACGCCTACGCAAGGGCATACCTTGTCGACATTCGCCTCCGTCTGGTTCTTCGGGCGGTTACTGAGGCATTGTTTATGTATTCCCCACAACGTCATCACTACTAAAACTTCAGCTTTGCGAGAAATAATTCCATCACACCCTATCTATACCTGTTCGTTTACACTCCTCCGTACTTTTTCTGGAATCGTTTGTCGCATTAAATATCCGCTATTAGACTTCAAACACTTCCAAGAAGTTGCTGGCAAGTGCATAGTGACGGCAAACCTTATCAGCTTCCTGACTTGTAGGACCACGTCTTAGGCAGCACGATACAAGCTGAAAGATGATATAACAATTCTTATCGCTTCGACTTTTGCGCTAATTTTATGGCAGGGCATTTATAGGCAAAAAGCATGCCGTCATTCTGGATAGTAAGCTTCTGGGGAAAAATAATCAGCAAGACAAACTTAATTACGTAGTAATTCGTATAAAAGCATTTTTATAATGACCTGAAGGAGAGAGCTCGTAAATTGGTCATGGGTGGTAGCTATTGGTCATAGGTGCTACTTCTGGGAATGGCAGTGCCGCCTTTTAGAAGTACGTATCTATCTGAGCCAGTCATGTCCTCAGTTTGCATCAACCAAGGTGACGCAAACTACTATGGAGATAAGGCTCGTGAAGGGGATCAAATTACTGGCTTTGAAGATAGCTAAGTCCACAACATGGGGTAACCTTCGAAATTACTTCTATCCGGTCAGACTCGTTGGAAGCTCAGCACTCCTTCAGATATCCTCGATGTGATGAAACTGGCTAGAAAGTTCTATGCTATGTTATCTAACAAAAAATACCCATGATTCATTTATTCACATAACTCCACCCATATGTCGAAGCTCTGCCTCTCATTTGATTAGCAAGAGGTGCTCTGCTGTTTTCTTCACAGCTTACATATACTGATTTTTCCAAAATTTTTTCTCCTCGATAAATTTGGAAAAAACAGTTTTGTGGTGACACACTCTCGTGCACAGCGCTCACCCATATGTGAAGGATGGATCCTGTCCGAGGCTGAAGTTTTGTCTACACTTCGCCAACTTTGAGAGATTTTTATGTAAATTGTGAAAATCCCCTCTGAAAACGGTTCGGTCACCAAACAAACAGAGATCAGTAGCTTCCGATTTTGTTTCAAAGGCTTGTTGGCTCATCGAATGAAAGCAATCATTTTACGATTCGGACATTTTACGAGCCAAACTGTAGCAGATAGCGCCTGGCGCCATTCTGAACAATGCGGTTAGCAATGTTAGCGTTTACGCTAACGCTAGCCCTTTTCCCTGGTGAAATCGTTGGGGACAGAACCGCTCGTGCTACCCACGATCTCGTCACCAATCTGCCTGGTGTGACTTTCGTCACGAATTTCCAGCAGTATGCCGGCTATCTGAATGTCACCGCTAATTCCAACGTCGATGACGCTTCGGTTTTCTATTGGTTAGTAATTTTCTAACTGATTTTCGTCTTTTAATCGTCCTTTTTATTCTGCTCTGTTCATTCCGGTTCAGTTTGAAGTTCAGACAACTTATCACAACTGACCGGCGGTTTTATAGTCAGCGACAAACGGATCATTACCTACTCCCTCTAGAAAGAGCTAGAATATCAAAATATTTTGTCTGACTTTCTGTCCCAACTGGAACGCCATCTCGCTGTCTTTCTTGAAAATTCTCAAATACATAAGCCACTTTTTGCAAAACTCTTCTCTTCTGCGCTGATGGCCAAGATAGAATTTTCTAAACCATTAATTCATTGTGGATCTGGCTTCGTATCAGGAACCTAGGAAGCCAGAAATAAGCAAATATGAATGGAGCCCTACACTTGACCCAACCAATGTTCAGTGCGGTACAATCCCCCCTCTCCCAGAAATGCTTCTTTACCGACTTCCGTAGTACCAGAGACATAGCAAATCATGGACTGTCAGGCCTACATTATGATTTGCCTCTATTCCTTAACAGTAGATACCCTACGAAATTGAAAAATAAAAAAAAATTAGAGGGATTCTTTGTCATCGTAGAAGTTTTTTATCAATATCGACTGTGCCAAGGTGGCTTACGATGACCTACGATGCTCCATCACATCTGACTCCTCTGATAGCTCAAATCAAGAGATCGATGCTGAAGTTGATTTGCTTATCCAACGAAATACTTAAGTATAATTAACCTCTGTCATTCCTGTCATGTCCACATCTGACATCCACCACAGTTGGCAGGGTCAGTCTTTGTCGATGTTCACGTAGACCAGCCTGATTGATCAAAGGGTGACGGTGAGGTGCTAACGGATGCACACTTCAATCAATTTTGCTCTTGTACTTATCCGGTTAGGTTAGTNTCAGGCCATTTCACTTTTACTCAAAACATTTTCGTATGGTAATTTGCTTGTTAAACTACAATCTAGATTTGAATTCACTTCATTCTGAGCTGAATTTGTTCGATACGTCGAAATCTGATAGCCATTTTCCTCATTGTTGCGATAGAAATTATGCTTGGACTTAGAATTTGGTGGACGGACTTTCTTCGTAATATTCTTCGCTATGAAAAAAAATTGTCAGGAATTCGAAGACATCCTAGTTCCCTTTGCTGTCAGAGTAATCAATTCTGTTCGAAGCACCTTTCCAGGCAGATCTACTCACTGGAACACCTTCTACCATTCGTGTACTATTTGACTACTTTTTAGGCATATTGAGTCGCAGAACAATCCGAGCACAGATCCACTGATACTGTTCATCAATGGTGGCCCATCATGCAGTTCGGTAGCGGGTATGATGGAAGAGATCGGCCCATTCCGTGTGAATGCAGACACAACTACACTGGCTGAAAATGTCTTCTCATGGAATAAGGTAAGGGTTACCGGTTCATCTGTTGGGTGAGATAGGAACGAGGCTCAGTGGGTTGAAGTGATGATTAGCCATAGGCCGGACTCAAAACTGAATCCTTGTGTTTCCGATTTTCCTCGAAAAATCAACATCATAAACCAATCTTTTAGGTGGCTAACCTGCTCGTTATCGACCCACCAAATGTGGGATTTTCACCAGAACCGAGATGGGGTAAAAAGAACGACGACGATCTTGTAAGCGAAATATAATATTTCCGAAGTTCAGCGAGGTGGGCCTAAATGTGGAACTCGCTTTTCAGGTAACGTCAACGCTGGAAGCTGCTCTTAGCGATTTCTTCACTGTTTTCCCAGAAAAGCTCACAAACCGATTTTACATAGCAGGGGAGGGTTATGGATCGGTCTACGTTACCCGTATTGCTTATTTGCTCCTCCAGAAAATGAGTATCGGTAAATCAAATGTAAATCTACAGGTAAGATACTCAGTGGACAAGTTGTGCTGATTGAAATCTGTTCTGGACTTTGTGCTTTAGGGTCTCATAATCGAAAATGGAGTATTGAGTGTGCCGACGGAATTCAATACCATACTACCTATTGCCTACACACACGCCTTTGCAGGAAAAGAGTGAGTGAATTCTGTTCCAGTATGGGTCGGATTATTTCACCCTAGACCTAGTCTTTTGCTCAGAGCTAGCCGTAAAGCCAATATGCGCAACATTGAAGCGTGCGGTCGCGTAACGGCGCGTCAGAAGTCGATGATGTCCATGCATTTATTCTTATTTTGTGGAACGTTCCTATAATTGAACAGCCTTTGTATGAACCTTGCCTGGTACGATCTTTGGAAAGAACTGCGACGCGACCGTACGCGGCTAGTCTTGTCCTTATCACCTGACTCCTAAGCTGAGGAATAAACAGAGGTGTATAACAAATGAAAGCTATTACATTTGTACTTGTTCGACCTATACTTTCAGTTTTTCTTCCTTTGGATTGTCAATTTTTCATCAATTTTCAGTCAATGGGATGATTTGCGTTCTTCCTGCTGTCAGAATCAGTCGATCATGGCCTGCGACTTCTACAACAGTCCCGATCCCATATGTCAGAATAAGTCTCGAACCGCATTCCAGGGATGGATCGATCAAACGTCCGTTGCGAATTAAGCATGACCAATTTCTCCCTCAAAAAAACTTTTTTCAGGGTCTACTCATACAACATGTACCAAGACTGCTATCGTAATACAAACAATCTCAGAAGGATGATTAATGCTATGGGATTCGATGTAAGTCTTGGATTTTCATAGAGACTGTGTTGTGCTGGTATTTTGAACCATCATGGAAGTATTCGAGTTTGTAGAAGCCTAATAACAACCTCTTGATAGACCTGGGACTGGGTTAGCATGAGCGGTTCATGGTAACATCCATCAGTAGAAAGCTGTAGGGCGGATCAAAGGCGTAGAATACTTTGGAGTAATTTTATATGTAGCCAGCGAATCCCTAATAAAAATTCTTAAGACAAGAAATAAGTTTAGTGATTGATTAATATCTTTGAAACCGTATTTCCAACAGATCATTGGGTACATACATCTTCTGGACTCGATTCATGAGTTATGGGAGGAATGGCGCTGTTGGCGCATTGTGTCAGCAGTGCAAGTATTTTCTTCCTTGAATATATGCCGAGCTTTCCAGATGGCTGTCACAAACAATTATGGCTCAACGGATCCATGGAATGGCTATCCATGTAGGGCAGATAGTAGTACTCAATCGTATTTGAGTCAGTTTGCCACTCAAGCAGCTCTTCATACCAACATGCAGTTGTATTCGACTTGCGCGTGGGTTCTATTCTGTTTCTTCCTGGTGAGAGAGTTTAAAAAAAAGTCAAAAAGTAGAAAAATTGGTTTCATATGTACTTTGGAATTAATTCGCCTTCTTATAGACTTACCTTTGGAGACACTAACTCGCTTCCAGCTTTTGTGATAAGGAGAATTTCACCCTTGATTGCTCGGCCCACTGTGATCAACTACATGATTTAGGAATATTCCTTACGGAACAACGACAACAGATCTGACCGTGGATCTATCGAACATCATCAATCACAACCTGTACAAAAGTCGTAATATGTCGGTATGTCCATTTGGTCTCGTCAAGAGACCTTATTCAGGCCATTCAGTCCAGCGGTGGGGAGACTAGTCACTTTTCATGATTGCTGTGATTTCTAGATGTCGGGGAAGTGACTTGAGATGTGGTGGTTTGTTTGCCCGAATTTTTATAACTATTCTTCGATCGATCCGCTGAGCGAATACTTCAAGCTACCGAACACATTGCTATTGATAGCCCCCTTCGTCTACCCCAAGAATCGGTGATAGAAAGAAAAAGGAAGAGTGAAGGGACAGATTCGAGTGGAGATAGCTTTGTGGCGGTTAGAGCAAACCGTGACAGACCTACCTGATAGGCTAGCTATCCCGACCTGTTGCCAACATTATTCGAATAGGAGAGTACTGGATGGACCGATCGAAGAAGCTCTACTGAGCCTACTCGTTTGCGAGCAAATTCTGGTGTCAGGTGTATTCCCCCTTTTCAGGAGTCTAGGTCATACTAAGAGTTCAGAGAGAACCAGCCACCTAGTAGTTGCAAACGACTTCGACACTGGCTTCTTTCTAAGTTTTGTCATTTTTCGAAGAAATATTCTTTATAGGTTGTATTCTACAATGGAGACTTGGATACAGTGAATAACTTTTTGAGTGCACAGAATTTTCTACGAAAATTCAGCAGCGTTCAAGGACTGACGGTGAGTCTTATATCTGTTGGGATCCGAAGACCATGTTTATGTCATCGTAACGGACCGGACGGGTCATACATTTCCGCATGCGTTTGGCCCTCTTTGCACGTGAAATCGATTTTACGCGAGTTTAGTCTCTGACACTCAATGGTGCTCTTCAGTATATGGTAATTGTGAAGAATTCATATCAGTATTTTTGAGGTCACAAGGGAAGACACTTGGAGAGCAAACTATAATCGAAGTGTCTATATGGATATGGAAGGTGGATTGCGGACCACATATTCAGGGAACATTGACGTCCTGTCTATCAGAGTATGTTGTAAAATCGAGCCAAATCAATTTGATTGGTTGAATTTAGTTTTGGCCTAAATACTGCCATAACTCTACAGAGTTGGGGGATAGTTCCCAGTCTTATAGAAAACCGATCTCTAGTTTCCATACTCAGGTATGACATTGTTAATGAAGTATTGTTTATTGCCATTACACTCAGTGAGCCATTTAAAACTTTCGTTTTTTTTTTTGAAAATAATGTTCTAATGAATCAATTATACTGCAGTGGTGAGATTCGCCACATTGGGTGTAGCTTCCTCATGTTATTTTGTTGCTGAAGCTTTTTGGAAGCTTGAACCTTTTGTGGTGGATTAGACACAAAATAATAAATAAATACATACGAAATACAATACAACACGTGAAATACAAATGCACAACGTATAATCGATGTAGACCACGCAGAAAAAATACCGTAAAAAGCAAAAATGATGGAGACATGCGGTGTTGAGAACAGGGTGATAACTTGTTTATTATTTTTTGTTCGAACTATTGACTAGATATTCTGGCTGTCTAACCCGTACTATGCTGCCTTTCGTTTTGAGCTTCAGAAATTTTTCGGATTACCCGGAGCAAACTTGGAGCTGATCTCATTTCTCACTTTAATTTCAAATGTCAGAATACTTCTATCATAACATTTTTTAATAGATTTTATAATAGTATCCATTAGATATTCGTATGAAACTCAAACATGTTTAACTGGTTAATTCAAGAGGTATGTTTAATAAGTATAGTCAAATGTATTCGAGATAATTTGCCAGTAATCAACACTTTTTCCTCTTGGTAAGTGTGCTAAAGCAATCATGTTTAAGGGAGCTGGTCATTTTGTGCCGAAATCTCGTCCTGCCCAGGCATTGCAAGTGATTCGCAACTTCTTGAATGGCTTCAGCTACGATAACTGTCTGCAGTTTGTGAACCTTGCAGCCGCACCGCTTCTAGCCAATTACAGCTACTTGAACCCAGCTGTTTCGAGAAGGGATGCTGACAGAGTGAGTGATCTTTTATTACTCCTAATTCGATTCAAATCGTCATCATAGATTCAGGTGAGTCGCAGTACTGAAGCGGTGAGGAGGTGAGGGCTTGTGATAGCTTGTTATATTCGATGTGATATATGAAATCGGAACGCTTGAGCTGTTTGTCAGCTACAAAAGTCAAACTATTCAACAAACCCTGCTGATCTTTGTGCCTTTTATTTGTATTTGACAAAAAAAATCTAAGAGCAAAAAAAGAAGAGTTAAACAGTGTTATTTGGTATATCAACCGACAAGTTTTGAAGTCTGCGATAAATCGCTCCGCGACGTACGCATAATTTCGGATACTTCTCACCATTGCGAACAATTTGCATGAATAGCAAGATTTCAGATCACTGAGCTACCAGGGCTAACGTTTGAACCAAACTTCCAACAGTACTCTGGATATCTACGTGGTTCAGACAAACACCGTCTACATTACTGGTAAACAACATCTTCTTGGAAACTCTCGAACAGAGAAAGCTCTCGAGATTTAGGTTTGTCACTTGTCCTACAGATGGTCCAGACGTTCCAGTCTTGCTTTGGCTGAATGGTGGTCCTGGAAGCAGCTCTGTCTGGGGAATGCTGACTGAGAATGGACCATTTCGACCAAATCGTGATGGAAAAACACTCTTTGAAAACGTCTATTCATGGAATAGGGTGAGTCTGATATGTTGGTTTGGTTAAATTTCCCTATTTTTTGTCGGATGTGGCAAGGATGAAATACAGCACCCCAGGGTTAAATACCTGTAATCTGGCCGGTGATTATTTGGGGTGCACCAGCGAATCGCATTCTATCCGCCCTATGCTCTGAAGAAGTTCCGTGGTAAAAGGGCTGATAAATAACTGATAAGTTGATAAAGGTGAGGGAAGAGCTTTTCGTGAGAAGCTGATGAATGACTTCCTCTTATGTCGAATATCATCGCAAAACTGTAGATATTCTGCTTAACCCTGTCTATTAAAATGCAACCTAAATGGTCAAGTGATTGGTCAAGGTGTGGACAACATTTTTCTAGCACAATTAAAATTTTGGGAAAAAAATTGAGATGAAGTTTTTTTGCTCATCAATTGAAACACTCAGTAATGATGTTTCAGTTCGCTCACGTTCTCTACTTGGAAGCACCGCATAATGTAGGCTACTCCTATTCCACGGAACCTAACGACAATGCTTACACTGACGATCAGGTGATTCTTATAGTGGCTTCCACCCACAAGCTAGTTTACCACATCCGTTTCCGTATTGGGACCGTGCTGCATTGGTACATAATTACCGTTAGACCAACTCCATTAATTTGTTGTCTTGATGAAAAGCAGTTTTAGACAGCCGACGAGAATTACAATGCACTGAAAGACTTCTTTTCAATGTTTCCCGAATATGCATCAAGGGATTTCTTCGTTACTGGTGAATCATATGGTGGTGTCTATATTCCGACACTTTCCCGACGAATCTTGAACGGCATCTATACAGAGGATCTGAACATAAACTTTAAGGTAATTTCTCAATAAGTTTTTGAAGTGCCTTCGTTCCTGCTGAGAAAAGAACTATTTCTCCCACTTGATTAAAGCCAGTTAAAAGCTAATCGAGCTGAAGCAACTAAGACTATCTGAAGCAAAGTCAAGATACATAAAATAAAATTCAAAAGACAAAGCAAAATCAGGCGTCGCGATACTTTTCTGCCATCGCGACACTCGGTACATACTGCGTTCGTTATCGCCGTTAAGCATCTTCTTCCTCTGGAATAGTTCCAGCGGTTGGGGAGAGCACTTTGGGCGACAGATTGAATGAGCACAGGGGATGGTTCAGTGGCCCAGGCCAGATTTCTGACTAAGCTTTGGTAGGACGCCCATCTGAGGCTTTCCGTTGTTTTCGTACTTGTAAAGCAGCGTTTTGCCTAACTTGCTATTTTACAAGTACTAAGACTGTGTATCAATTAAGTGATTCTGCATAATGTTTTACAAGGAAGAAAAATTCGAATCAACAAACCCCTTCAGGGAATACAGAATTCCCCTCATGTTACGTGATGAAGAAGTCGGTTCTCGGATAAAGAGCTGTTTTCAGGGAATCGCTATCGGAAACGGTGAGCTTACTACGAAGCACCAGGTGAATTCTGTAATATTGCAGCTCTATACCTACGGAATTGTTGGTCAAACGTAAGTTTATGCCACAACTGATGAACCAGTTTGGCATCTTTCTTTTATAAACAACATGAATTTCTCTATCTCATGAGGATCCCTGACTATCTCTCGAAAAACCTGGAAAAATTTTTTCACCTATTGGGGGAGACATACAGCTGTAATGACAGAGATTTAGCATTTTTTAGTTATTCAATGAATAAGGAAATAAGATGAGTGCTTGGGTTCTCTCAGATCTGTCTGGTCCGTTTCAAGTGATTCGCATTCTAGAGTAAATGATACATTTCAGAGAATACGATGCGCTGACAAGTCGATGTTGCCCAGGTGTGGTTGACACGACCCAATGCGATTTCTATACACCTTACATCTATTTCGACTATTTGGGCAATTATTATCCCAGAGATGGAGCTGATCCATGGTGTGCTCAGCAGGTAATTTGCATTTTTTCCAAAATGTTTCCAATTTAAGGAAGGTCCGCTTTAGGCTCTAGTTCTCACTCATCTTAGAAAAATCGTTCTCATTATGTGGATGTAGGGTTCCTTATTTGTATGTCATTCAACTGATCTCGGTCAACCCAAATCATCCCTTTTCGGCATTTCCATCCCTCCGATTGATTCGAATTTTCAGAGGGCAGTGGGATCCTCGATCAGCATTGATACGAATGTAGATTGAACGGAAATCTAATGCCGCAGCCATTCTAAATGGCGCTCAGGTGCATGGCGTGACCTGAAGAGTTTGCGACAACTTTACTGCCCCACCTTTTCCATAGGCGAGCAAGCAAAGCATAAACCGTGCAAACGATCGTATGAAAAATGGAACTCAGTTGCGAAAACATTGAACAAAAGGAGTAAATAAAGACGAAATAAAACGAAATAAATTGAAATAAACGATCGGAAAAGGCAATTGCAATGAATATAATCGAAAGAATGAGAAGGATCCTTTCAGATCCTTGGGATTGTCATGGACCAAGTATGGAACTCACTAAACGATCCATATAATATCTATCAGGACTGTTATCAGACACCAGTGGACAATACTACAAATGCTACACCACCATCCACCACGAGTCAGGTACCGACGTTAAAAAATTCGGATTCACGAGACGAGATTTATGGGCAGTAAATGCTTTACTGTAGTTGCATAAGTTCTGCAAAAAGTTGGGAAGTGAACCTAATGTCACATCATCCGTGCAACTCTTTTCCAGTGATTCATATTGATAAATATTAGGACTAGATAAACACATGCCAATTTTATTTGGTCCATAAGGCTCCCAACGTTCTGGACATGCGTGGGCATTACCGAGAACGTTCAGAATGTAATATTGCAAGATCCATGTGAAAAAGGCGGAGCTCTCTGCAGAAGGCGGAGTTGGTGCAATAGAGCTAGAAATGGGGTGCATGAAAGAACCTGTTACAGCCAGAAATTGGTGGCTCAAAGAACGATTAAATGAAAGTTCCGTAAACGAGAGACTGGTTTTCAATATTTCTCATTTGTTAGCTTTTAGGCTGAGTCATAAGTCCTCGGACAAATTGGCAATGATAATACTTATCTTACGATTTTTAAACGACAATAGCGAATCATTTGAAATATGCCCCATTCGCATCGACGGTCTTCTGCCAATGCTTGGGCAGATCGTAAATGTCCTTGCTTTAGAACGCTGCGAGTTGGCCCTTGGCGAACTGCTCCAGTGCCATTTTGATGCCGTCGCGGGTCTGAAAGTCCTGACCATCCAGATGACGTTGAAGATGGGGAAAAAGGTGGTAGTTCGAGGAATCCAAGTCTGAGGAACATGGTTGGTGTGGTAAACTTGTCCTACCGAAATTCGTCACTTCAGTTTTGGTCGTTATTGCAATGAAAAGGCGAGCGTTGTCGTGCTGGAAGTAAACTTTGTGCTGCTGTGGACGTGCAGTTTCGGGATTCGCCTTCAAATTCCTCAGTTGCGAAACGGAGACGTGTGCGGTCACTGTGCATCCTTCGTCTAGCATCTCCCATTATACAACACACTGAACGCTCCGCCAGAACCAGTGCATAACCTCCTTTTCGTGTACGTTGGGTTTGGGGGAGTCTTCTACATCCGCACCTTTGTCAATCCATTGAGCACGCCGGTGAACGTTAGAGTAGTGGTTCGACTTCGCACCCCTGGTGACTAGGTACTCGAGCCACGTGTGGTGCCCTCGAGCGTGAGGAGAGAATGTGCCACGTCGTCGC